AAGTAATCTTTTTGTGAATGATGTGTATTTTTTTTGTTGAAAAGTACAGGTTCTATTCAAATACCCCTCCTTCGAGAAGTAGACGAGATGATGTGTATTTTTTTTGTTGAAAAGTACAGGTTCTATTCAAATACCCCTCCTTCGAGAAGTAGACGAGATCTCTGACATTGATTATTGTCTCCACTCTCCAACAATTCTTTTTTCAACATTACCTTTATACGTATCAACTAATAAAAAATAACAAAAATCCAAAGTACCCTCTATATACGCTTCTATATTAGACGGTTTTGAGACTTTTAGGTCATGTTTGTTTTAGCTTTGATATTGTGAATTCCATCTTGGAGGTTGTAACAATATGCAATTTGCAACAAATAGACGCATATTGAAATAATCCATAGGACATATTGTTACAATCCAACAATCTGCTAACCACTAGCTTGCAGATTAATTAAAATAACCTACAGTGACCATGAATCTTCATCTAAATTACCAACTTCTTTTAGTATTATACCCATTTCTATATTGTTATTAGTATAGAAAAAAAAAGTCAAGGCATGCATGCATGCTGTCTTTGAACACATCAAGGTCTCTAATTCGGGTTTCGGTGATTGATGAACGCAAGGACATGTGGCTAACTTTGTTTTGTAGGGTTAATGACAAAGAGTTAGGGGGTGTTCGGGACAGCTCCAGCAACTCCAGATCCGCAAAAAATAGCTCCACTACAACTTTTTCTAGCCAAACAACCCCAGGTCCACCGGCTTCAGATCCACCAAAACATGGATCTAGTTCCCAGATCCACAAAATCCACACAAAATCCATGGAGCTCCTCAAGGGATGCTCTAAAAACTTACAGACCATACCACTGATTACACACCCAAAAGCCTGTACCGGTTCATTCTGTTTCTATCCGATGTTTCTTCTCCCTCGGCGCGATTGTCTTCACGCGCCCATCTCGACCCGCCAGCGTCCTGCACCCCAACGTGGCCCCGCTCGCCCCGAGCCTGCCATCTCTCCCTCCTTCACATCTGCCCCAACCATGGCCGCGACCAGCAACCTCTCCCTCCTCCGCACCGCCCCGGCCGTGGCCGTGCCAGGCAGCCTCTCCCCCTCCCCGCCCCCATGCAATGACGGCACTGCCTTCCTCCCCGCCCCCGCCCTCGCGCCCGGCCAAGCTGCGTTGTACCTCGCCCTTGCCCCCATGGCCTTCTGAATAATCTTATATTTTCTTAATTGCCTATGAATCCAGATCCATGGTGGAGCTCTCCCAAACAGTTTTCTTAGAGTCTAGATCCACGGTCGAGCTGGTGCTTTAGATTTACTTTTGTGGAGTAGGAGCTATCCCAAACAGATCCTTAGTCCATATCAAGGAACTTAGTTTTCTTAGCCCTGGTGATTGGATTCAACGTATGGTGCAAGAAGATTTGTTAAGGCTAAGGACATGATAGCTCCTAAGTCCATTACTTGGAGTTTGGGACACTTAGTCTTAGTGTTAGGGATTTCGTTTATCTTTGGCCAAACTGTTAAGAGGAGACAAGATTAGCACCTTGATCACAGTTCGAGTCAAGAACATTTTGATGAACACATGAGAGATACTCCAAGCAAAGTTGATCAAGAGTGGCTAGAATATATAGAGAATAAGTCAAGGATCTCAAAGAAGTTGAAATGGATAAGATCGGACTTCAAACAGAGCTAGAATATAGTTTTAAAGTGCACTGGATCGGTTGATCAAGGCCAAAGGATTGTCTGGTGACACTATGTCATACTGAATGTGCGGCAGTGTCACTCACCGGATGGTAGAGTAAGGGATCCTATGTGGACTGGCGGATGATTCGATGACATTGTGCTGTGAAGGTTCAAGTAGGACATGCCTACTAGAGTGCATAGTATGATCTAGTAGCTCCTTAGACCCTCCAGATCATTCAGTGATACTATGTAGCGACTAGCTCAACTTGGACAAGCTTACTAACATGCACTGTATGATCTGCTATATACTTTAGTGGTTGTATTGTATCATCCAGTGACGAATATTATGGAATCTTTTAGGAGTTATTGTGGGAAAAAACAGGAATAGAGGGTCACTAGATAATCCGATGCCTCTCAGTGAGGTATGGTGGATCGTCCGATATTGACTTTCTCAGTACATATTTTCCAGCACTAGGACCTCACCCTTGGCCTAGATATATGCGTTCTCTAGCTCATTTGGTGGTCCCTCCGACCTTGACAGTTACTTAAATATTGCAAGTCTTTGCAGATGGTTTGAGTGCAGTTCAAGTCAAGAGGGGGTACTTGTGATTGACTTAGTGTGCATCTTTGTGCTCTTGGCTTTAAGGTTGATCAAGTGAAGATCTAATTGTTAGTCTTGGAGTTTGTCAGCTCCTAGACAGCTGGGTGGAGGTCTAGCTGATCTTGTCGATGGAGTTGATTATTGTAAGGCTCCTAGAGGTGTGCTTAGCCGGGTGGAGAGTGGGTACTCTTAATGGATCTTGAGCCTTTGTGACTCAAGAGAGCTCAACCCTCAGTGGTTGCTCCAACATGATCTTGGGGGTAGTGGCAACTACTCAACACTACCGGAAAAAAATAGTTTCTCTCTTGTTCACTTATTTCTATTCAGTAGCATTATTGCTTGAGGCATCGTGAATCTCATTCTAAACTTTATTTTGTTTTAGTGTGATGAACTAGATAGGTTTCTTTCTAGGATTTTTTAAGGACCTATAGTTAGTGTGTTCTTACTAAAGCATGGTTTAGTTTGGTAGCCATAAGGACTTACTTACTTTGCTTTTTGAAGTAGTTTTAAAGCAGGTTCTTACCTAGCGGTGAATTAGTTTGGTTGGGTTACGGTTTGTTGTTTTAAATTTTTATAGCCTCAATTCAAACCCCGCCACCTCCTTTGAGGCCATTCGATCCTTATAGTGTGTCACCATGAAGACCATGTATACACATATGTATGAAGTAATGAGTATACCTATAAGAAACAGGGACCTTAGCAAGGGTTTAGTGATTTTGGTGGTTGATTAACAACATAACCATTAGTACTAAAAATGTTTGCTAGTATACATGGTATTTAGTTTTATGGATGCAAGAGATGGACTTGAGCTACTAGGATAAGATGAAAATTAAGGAATCAACACCTCAAATGAACACTTAAGAGCGATCGTGCAGGACATTAGAAGACAAATAAGAAACTCAAGACATCATAAAAGTGAAGCCCAGACAATGGATGCCAAGAAAGGCACATAGAAGAGCACCGGAGTGCTAGAACAGGGACAACAGTGTGCTGGAACAAGAGCACCAAAGAAATCCGGTGGGGTTCAATCCAAGGCAAGTTGGAAGCATGCACATGCATACTTCCAGTGAGTGATGCGGCGAAGATTGAGTACAGAGAGCGTGCATAGGCGTGGTGGAGAGCTAAAGACAATCCGAAAAAGCACCGAAGAATAAGGGTGCAACAGTGAGGTTCCAACGGTCGGCTAATGGCTAGTCTACGTGTCGGGCACCGAATTCCTCTTGTGTGGTCACCAATGATCTTCGGTATTCACTGCTGAGGCAGCCCTTGCTTCTAACGGCTAGTTAAGTGTGTTGGGCTATATATACCCCCATACACGTCCATTTGGAGTGTGGAGTTTAAGGAAGCCATAGTTGAGCTAAGGCTTAAATATTTGTGCTCTAGCCACCATATGCGCTTAAGAATTAGGTGATTAGTTAAAGTGCTTAGTTTAGTGCTTAGGCTAGTTAGAGGCTGCTTTAGCGCTTGATCTAGATTTAGGACTAGTGTTTAATGAGGTTTGCATACCTCTAATCTATTGATGCTTGCGTGCACCAAGAGTTATATACATGGGGCTTGTAATCTTTCAAGATCATACCAATCGCGTTTGTGGCGTGGCCGTCGATGTTGCACGAGGGACGAGAGGCCCTCGGCGTTTTGCCTGAAACTATCCATAATGAAGACAATGGGGAGCGATCTGAGAGAGGCCACTTATCCATGAAGTTACTCGACTAGGAGCACATACACATGGATGTAGTAATGAAATATCAATGTTGTTACTATAGGAAAATGTATTATTTGACTAAATATTATAACATATATGCAATTATGTATTGATAATTCAATTATACATACTATTATACTACATTATTTTGAGGAATATACGACTATATTCATAGTTTTTGCGTAGAGGGAATTAGACATTTCAAGCACTAGTGTGTTGGCTAAAAACATCTTTAATGTGATTGTAATAACTAAGAGTGAAGTCCAGGATTGGAATCCAAATTCTTAATAAATGAAAATAGGGAATCCAGAATACAAGGGACCACAAGTGTTGCGGCTTCAACTTAAGAGAAAAATCTTATTAGGAATTACAAGAAGTAACAGTAATTCATGTATGATGCCTGCCACCGTGCATACCACAAATATATTTGTTCAGGAGCAATGTGCACATCACTTTCCACTGTTTAGCAGTCATGCAAGATGTTTTATTAATGACTTACATATCAATTATAATAGTAGTGATGTTAAATTAAAAAAAACATCTAAGTTGCTACTTTATGTAAATTTGTTATGTTTTTACAGAAACATCACGACCTATATGCATTGATAGTTCAATTGTAAGCAATGCAATGTTTTTTAAGAAAGATATTCGAACATACTCATAAACTTTTGTTAACGGAAAATAGACATTCAAAGGCTTCAATCACTAGGGTGTAAGTCCAAATTGAGATTTAAGAATCTGGAATAGAAGGTATACAACAAGTGCTTTATGGCTTGAGCTGAACATGTGCAAGAGAAAACTTTTATTATAAACTACAACAGCTAAGGCCAAAATTAGGTGCCTAAAATCTGGATTTATGGAGTCACACTAGATGGGTTGCACTAGAGGCTAATGTAGCTCAAACTAAAGTGCTAATTAAACACATATTACATGTTGAATCGGGATGAAAAAGCATACAGAGTAACTGGTAATAGAATCACATGCGAGTAATAAGAGAGAGCAAAGAAAGGCGACCTGATCTTTTAGGGGGCATCTCGGTGTGGCAGATTGGAGCTTCCTCTTCACCCCCCTCATCCGTGAAGATGCATCGCCGTCTAACTTCACCTCATTATCCTTGATCTGTCTCTCGAGACGGTAGTACTCAATATCATCCAAGATGTCTTCCGCCTCACAGAAAGCCGACTTAAGTTCCCTGAATAGCTTCTCCAAACGAGGCCTGTGCGGGCTCTCCTCCACAGCTTCCATCACCCGCTCCAGCAGCAGCAGCTTTGTCTCAAGTTGCTTAAGCTTCTTCGGTACGTCAAAGCCGAGGTGGGAGAAGCCTTTCTTCAAGATCTGAGAAATGATGGGCGAGGCGAGCCATCCTACGACTTTGATGCCCCATCCTACAGCTACAGTAGCGGTTACTGGATCCGCCATTAGAAGCCGCAAGCTCTTGGGGATGTTCCAGGGGTAGCCTCAGCCCTCAGGGGAGATGGAGGGAGGGTCCGGTGTGAAGATCCAGTTTGGCGAAAGCTCGTCGACGGCTGGCTGGGTCAAGGCTCAACGCGCTTCCTGCCGGTCGACGAATAAGCAAAGAGACAGAGGGTGAGGAAATTTCCATCCAAATGCCTGCTAGCTGCTGCGGCAAGGAATGACTCCCACAAAGGCAAACGCTTTCTCATTTTTTATTTGGAAAAATTGGCTAGTGGACACTCATCAAAGGTGACTTTTGTCATAGACCATTAAGAAAAGTTGTCTATGTTAAAATACTATAAATTGATACTCACTTCTTTCTAAATTATAAGTTGTTTTAATTTTTTTTTAAATATATATTTTGCTATATATCTAAGTGACTTATAGTTTGAAACAGAGAGAAGTAATTTACTAGTGGACACTATAGCTCTTACAATAACATAGTTTTCCCTACTCAAACAGATCACAGTATACTTATAGAGGACAAGTATGCCCCTGCTGTTCGAACCAACATTTCAACAATATAACCAAACAGAGAGGTCAACATAACAATAGGTTGATTTGACATTTCAGCTAGTTGACTGATACAGAACGGTACATAATTTGGCAAGGGAAACAGATAAAGAACCTGGTCATCGATCGTCATCACAAGGCAAGAAACAAAGAACCCGATCATGCATCAGGGAGAGCAGATTATCCAAGGGTGCTTGTACCGGTCGAGGTAGATTGGAAATGCACTATTTGGACTTGGTATAGGGTATAGATGGGTACGCTGTTGATCTATGGGGTGTGGATTGTATTGTACTAGAACTAGTATACATGTATATGCAATTTATAGGCGGTGGGGTCAATGAGAAAAGCTTGCGAGCGACGACAGAGGAGATTATAGGTACCTCCGATGGAGTTTTGGACGGACGCAACAACGTTCACAGATGGCAACCCAATGCTGCTCTATTCCTTTGTTCTCATAAAAAACAAAGGTCTTGTTTAGTTTAAAAAGTTTTCCTAAAAAAAATCTACAGTAGCTGTCACGTTGAATCTTGTAATACGTGTATGAAGCATTAAATGTAGATGAAAAAAAACTAATTGCACAGTTTAGTGGAAAATCGCGAGACGAATGTTTTGAGCCTAATTAGTCCATAATTGAACACTAATTGACAAATAAAAACGAAAATGCTACAGTAACCAAATTCTCAAATTTCACGAAACTAAACAAGGCCAAAGTTAAAATAACCAATGCTTTGCCGGCCTATGTGCGCTGTTTTGTTTTTTTGGACGGACGCAACAACGTTCACAGATGGCAACCCAATGCTGCTCTATTCCTTTGTTCTCATCAAACACAAAGATTATAGGTACCTCCGATGGAGTTTTGGGCTTTTTTTTTTTTTTTTGCTTATGTGAGCTGTTTGGTTTTTGGAAAGTCCAAAAGCTAATATAAAGGTGGTAAAAAAAACACACAAACAGGACCTAAAGGTTCCTGTACGTGCATCTATTAGTGCTAGCAGGTAAAATTAGCAGGTGAGGCCACACATTACTAGTAGTTAATAGACCAACTAATTGTTACTTCCTCTAGTTCAAAGATCAAGAAACGTACTTAATTCTCTCTCAACACTAGTATTGTATCTATGTACGTGTGTCTAGAGAGAGCACGCCTTATATTATAGGTCATAAACAAAAATTTGTTACACCTTATATATTAAGACGGAGGAAGTAGTAATTAGTACATTTTTAATATTTGAGTTGGTGGAGGGGTACTAATTAATATGTTTTTTTAGCAAAAGAGTCACCCTTCTTTATATATCAGAATAAGAAGTACAAACTCCATAAGGAGACGAAGTAAACCAAACATATCTTCCTACTAGAAAATTAACATAGCTCCTAGCTAAACAATGAGCATCAAAATTGGAGCTTCTTCCTTCGTTGACGTATTCCACTCTTGTGAATCTATCCTTCCTGCTCCTGATCTCCTGGATGATGGAGCTGTGCGTTCCAAACCCTACTCCGTGGATGCTTCTTACTGCATTGACGCAATCACTAGCCACCCGGAATATTTGGAGATCGAGATCGCTGGCCAAAGCCAGTCCCTCATGACATGCCACCACTTCAGCTATTTCCGCGATATCCGTGCATCCCTCCAGAACCAGCGTCGCTGCCCCAGCAGTGACGGATCCAGAAAAATATTTAGGAGGGGCTGGACTGAATAGAGAGCTAGACTAGCAAAGCTTCCATGGCTGAAACTTCTAGGGGAGGCTCAGTGGGGGCTCCGTGGACACAGCAGCAGTAGGGGGTCTTGAGCCCCACCCGCCCCACTGCTGTCTCCGTCCCCCTAGGAATTGCCATCTTCATCCCTAGTCACAACAGCCACCAAAGCCATGGTCGAGTTCTTGGAGATCACCGCGTCAACATTAATTTTCGCAAAGCCTCTTGGCAGTTTGATCCAGCGCACTACTGGCCTCCCTGCCGCTAGCTTCTCCTTGTTCTTCGGCGTGATCGAATCCAACTCGTTAATGAACCACTCCACAAAGCTTCCAGTGCCCTTCGCCATTTCTTCCTAGGCCGAAGACTCCACCCTTCGCTCTCACCTTGCTGGAACACCGAAGGTTTCTGCATCCTTCCGAAGGCTTCCCCTTTAGGGCCTCTCGGGTGGTCTCGTGGGCCTTCGCACCATCGTCCTTGGCAACTTGTGGGCCTTCACCTAGTCCTTCTGTCAGAGCTCCTGTAAAAACATTATATGAAAAAGAGTTGTGTTATTTTAGGCCATCGGGTGCAAGGCATGGCCCCAACAACGCCATAGCTAAGTCTGGTCGCGAATTTTCGCCTCTGGAACCTTACTGGAAGTGACCGGACACCAGGTGAGGGTGCGTCCGGTCTTATTCTGCAGCGCGTTCGGTCACAACTTAAGTGCACCGATGATCGTTGAGATCGCGTGGTGGAGATTCAAAAGAGGAAACACGTGGCGAGCATCGGGCAACCAGACGCAGGGGTCCAGCATTCGGTCAACCTGACCGGCGCGTCTGGTCAGCCCATGTTTTAGTGGACAGAAGAGCCAACGTCTCTATTCGTTGGGGGCTCTATTTAAAGGCGTGTGGCCGGCTCTAGCTGATACTCTTGGCAATTTGCATTGACATAGCAACCTTGTGAGCTTAGCCAAAGCCCTCCCACTCATCTCCATCATTTATTCATCATCTTTGTGAGATTGGGAGAGAATCCAAGTGCATTGCTTGAGTGTTTGCATCTAGAGGCACTTGGTATTCGTGTTTCGCTGCGGGATTCGCTTGTTACTCTTGGTAGTTGCCGCCACCTAGATGGCTTGGAGCAGCGAGGATCGTCGAGCGGAGGTTGGTGATTGTCTTCGGCTCCGATCGTGGTTATTGTGAGGGGTTCTTGACCTTTCTCCGGCAGAGAGCCAAAAGGTACTCTAGTAAATTGCTCGTGGCTTGTGTGATCATCGTCTTGTGTTGGTTGTGTGGCACCCTATTGAGGGTTTGGCGTGTGATGCCAATTAGCGCATGAACCTCCAAGTGAGTGAATCGCCACAACGAGGACTAGCTTACCGGCAAGCAAGTGAACCTTGATAAAAAATCATTGTGTCATCATTTGATTCCGAGGTGATTGGTCTTCATTGGTATTTATTCTTGTGATTGATTGGTTCATTCCTTAACTCAGCGGTATAACCATCTTGCTCTCTCTCTATATATATATATTACCGTAAACTAGTTGTCAAGCTCTTAAGTGTAGCTAGTTATGAGAGCTTGTTAGTTTGGTTAGTGTGGCTCTTTAGTTAGCCTTTGAGAGCACACTAACTTAGTGTAGTGACATAGCCATTGTGTGGATAAAGACTATAAAAACTAGAATTGTGGTAGGTGGCTTGCATTTTAGTAGGCTAGCGCAACACTCGCTTCGCCTCATATTTGTCTAACTGGTTTGCTAAGTGTTGTTGTGGAATTTTTTAATAGGTTATTCAACCCCCCCTCTTTCCAATAGGACCTTTCAATCACGATAGGACGGTGGAGTTTCTTTCTCGTGGGATCAAAACCAGCATCCAGCCGGCAGCCCCCTCAAACCCTAACCATTTCTTTCTCCTTCCCCGCGTTTCTCGCACGCACAGGCAGCCCCCGCAGCATGGAAGTACCGACGGGAGATGATGGCGCCGCCGTGGGGCCCTTCGCCGGAGCACGCGTGCAGCTGCGCACGGTGCCATCGAATGGCCTCCCAACCGGCGCCCTTTGGTTGGAGTCCGCACGCGGACGGGCACAAGGTGGCGGTGCGGCTCCCAGATTTCGACCAGTGGCAAGCTCACACAGGATCCGACGACCCTCTGTAACATCCCGAGTTTTCGTGTAACCAAAAATACGAGCTTTTTAAAAATTTTCCTGCAACATGTGAATCATGTAGTCTCTAGGTCGAACCTAAGCCAACATAGGAAGACTCACTAACAAATCAGTGCATTCATATAGAATTGATTGTAGGAGTGTGCCGTTGTTCTTGAGTTGGTTTCAGGTTTTGAATTTCGTTTGGTGTTTGGAGTGCACAGTGCTGTAGCAAAATCCCTCTCAAATCATCTTAGCAAAAATGGGAAACCCCCCTGCCTTTTCCCAAGCAAGGAATTGGAAAAAAAATCCCTTTCCTCCTCTCCTTAAATTCTTCTCGATCCCCTTTGAATCCATCTCAAATTGTAGCAAATTCATCTCGAATCCCCTTTGAATATCACTTAATCTCCTTGAATTATAAATGAGAAAACCCTTTTCCCTTATCTTGGGCTCAAACCCCATAACCAGCCCACTCACCTCTCTCCCTTTCCCACACCCGCCATCCCATCCTCTCCTTTTCTCCTAGCGGCCCATGCGGCCAGGCCAAGCCCACCGCGGCATCGGCCCATCGTGGCCTCCCTCCTTCCCTGTGTGAACCCAGTAGGCCGGCCTGCCTCGCGTTCCCTCCCTTGGCCCAGCTCTTGTCTCGGCCCC